AAGTTGAAAAAGTTTAAAAAATTAAAGTTTTAAAAGTTAAATAAATAATTATTGAAAAAATTGAAAAAATAAAAGTTGAAAAAGTTAAAAAAATAAAAGTTGAAAAAGTTAAAAAATTAAAAGTTGAAAAAGTTAAAAAAATAAAAACTGAAAAAGTTAGAAAAATAAAAGTTGAAAAAATTAAAAAAATAAAAGTTGAAAAAGTTGAAAAACAAAAAGTTGAAGGGGAAAAAATTGAAAAAGTTAAAAAATAAAAAAATAAAAAAATAAAAGTAGAACGAAAACCAGTTGTAAGACCTTGGATTCATCTTAAAAAAGAAAAAAAAGAATATATAGATCCAAAATATAAAATATTAGGAACAATTAAAAAAGATCCCGTCTATATTAAATTAAACAACATTGAAACAGGAAAAGTTAAACTATATAAATCACTATACAAATATATAAGGATGCACATCGTAGATGTAGGTAACTTAGTCACGTCGTAAAAAAGCAATATAATGCAACAAAATATAAAAAACTGAAAATGATATAAATAAAATCTTTTCTATATAAAAATGGAAAATAAAACTTTGAAAGAATTATAAATCAGCGAGGTATTAAATATTGAGAAAAGCAGATCTTAAAAGACATTTGTATCAAAAAGAACCTCAAAATATATTAGACAAACCGACTACAGAAAACATGAAAGAAAATGTTCTTACAGCGACTCCGTTTACACCGGCACAATTCATTCTTTTAAAGTTTTTAATAATGATTTTCAGGTACATATGATACTTGGATAATTTCATATTTACCTGAAAACAGTTAATGAAAAATAAACAAATTAAAGTCTACAGTTTCTAAATTGTATAATAAATTTGGACCTTTAGAATTTAAATTAGCACAACCAGCTACGAGAAATGTAACAAAGCAATAAACAGTTAAAGGTTTAAAAGGGTATGATGTTTCATCGTTTATGAGTTCAGCTGAGAAAAGTGCAATTAAAATACTACGTGAAAATAGAAAATCAAAAGAGTATATAAGTGTTTCTGGTGAAATAATTTTATTTAATTATTCTTAATTGATAATAATTTTCTTCAGAATGATTTTCTTAATATGTAGCTATTAGCTTACTAACCTCATTTGGGTTCTTTTTAATTGCATTATAGGACTTTTCTTGTTCTAGATTAATATAACAAAGAAAATATTTCTTAAATTTATATTTACTGGCAAAAAATAAAGCTCCGCCACCTAAAATTGGTTCATTATAATTATTTAATCCTGATGGAATATATGAAATTAACCGATCAGCGATTTTTCTTTTGCTGCCAACCAGTTTATAAATGATTGTGGTCTCTCTTGATTATTAAGTAACATAGGTATTAGTATTTAGGAATTAATGCTTAGACAATTTTAAACAGCTAAATAATATCATAAATAGCAAAGAAATACCATACAAAGCTTAACAATCGAGAATTTTATAGATTCTAACTAACAAATTAGCTATTTTAGGTAGTTATTTAAGAAATTTTTACGACTAAAGATGGTGATAGCTTTAACTAATTTTTAAAACTGCATGACTGTCTAGAATCTACGGCTATTTTTTTTTTATGACATTTGCTATAAATCCGCTGTCCTCCTAAGAACAAAACTTATGACAATTGCCATAAATCCGCTGTACTCCTAAGAACAACAGTGGTATCTCTGTAAATGATGCTTAACTGTGAGTATCAAACACAGAAGTTAGAATAATGTTGCAAAACTAAGATCTAACTCTGTGCTCCATTTTTCAGAAACCAAAAAACAGGAAGAAAGTGTATGCCAGTCAATGATAAAAATCAATCAGAGTTTTAGGAAAAAAATATAAAGCAAAATCATTATGAACATAACATCAATAGCAAAGTTGACATTGTTTGCCTTACTACTTTTCAACTTGGGCTAGCTAAAGCAATAATTATTCTAGAAAAGATTTTTAAAAAACTTTGTACTAATGCTGAATCTATGGTAGAATTTCAATATTCAAGGTAATTTAGCTAATAGCTTAAAAATGTGGAACTTAGAACAAGCAAAGGAATATTTGGATGTAATTGTTGTTAATGCCGCTCTTGGTAGTCATCAATTATTAAAACAAAATGACTTGGTAATAAAAGTAATAGATACGCAAGCTGTTGATAGCAAATACATGCGGATGTTGTTACATATATCGCCAATGTTAGTCAAGCAATTATACTCCTAACGAAGGTATTTTTGTCAAAGCATTTGTTCTTTATGAAGTAGAGGATAATCAGTGAATATTAACTCAATTAGTTAATAACGCTATTCATTATACTGAGAAGGGTTATATAGTTGTACCCACCAGTATATGTGTTGTAAGAGCTCAGGAACAAGATAATAAAGATACTAATGGGAGCAACGAAAATAAAAAAATATGCTACATTTTGTTATCTATGATACCAGGGTAGGTTTTTCAAAAGAAAAACAGCAAAGAATTTTGGAACAATTGACTGGCTCATATTCGTTACCAGAGTCTATTTATCAATGTGAAGAGTCTGAAGAGCTTGATTAAGGATTAACATTTGTAAAACAGTTTATCAAGGAATTAAATGGAGAAATAAAATTAACGGGGAAGAAGGTAAAAGCTCAACTTTTATTTGCAACATAGCAATAAAATTACCATATAAACAAGCAAAAAACTTTACCATTCGTATGCGTTTTAGGCAATGACAGCTTTTGATTTTAAGTTTTTGAGTTTATTAAGCTTAATGTTTATTTGCAAATATTTAAAGATTGAAGGTATTTTAATATCTTGACAATACCTTTAAGATAAGTGATTCTCTTAAGTACATACCTAGGTATATACTTAAGTATATACCAAAGAGTATAAAAACATGATTAGAATACCTACTTTTCACTACAAAACTGCTGAACTCATTTCATTCTCAGAGCAAGTTGCGAGAAGAACGTGATGGGGTATGTCTCATAAAATTAGATGGAAAACTAAAATGATAAATTGATTTGATCAATTTTAAAATGGGTTTACGCTCGTGGTATTAGATTAAATGGCTTAGTGAAAAGGCGACGTTTAGAAAGAGAAATATTTTTAGATGGAACGAACAGCACTTGCCAAAAAACAACAAGAATAGCAAGAGTAGCTCCAAATGCAGTTAGCATTAAAAAACATGGTATAGTTTTGGCAATGAAAATTTTGTTTAATAGTTATAAACTAAAAAAATCCTAATTTTAAAATAAAAATTGAGCAAGATATGAATATAACGAATGATCAACTTTTATCACGTAATACTGTTAAGGAAAAAGGAAAAAAGAAAGTAAGTAAAAAGGCTAATATTCAGGCTAACAGTGTAAATCATACCTCTCCACTTCCACAAACCATCAAAAAAGCAAGAAAATTTTATGCTGAATCTGATGGAAATATTTTGCATGATTGTCTCTGCACTATTGATGCAACTCACGAGTTGGCTAAAACAGTTTAAGAATTAATCACGTTAAAAAATTTAAAACAACAATTACTGACTAGCGAAGATAACTTAAAGCTTAAGGTAATGAAATACATGCAGTTCCATAGCAAACTTAGCTTTATAGGCAGCATCGTTGTTTCTTGGAAAAGCTCAACTCGTTAAAGCTTTGATCTAACAAACTTCAAGAATGAGTTTCCTAATCTCTACACCTCATACCTACATGATATTTCAATTAGAAGCTTTAGATTACTTTAATGATACGAATAATTAACTCTATAATTTGTCGTCTTAAAATCAAAATATAACTTATTGGCTTAATCAAAATGGATTTGCAAGCTTTTTTTTTATATAGTCGTTCCGTCAAAACTCTAAAAAACAAAATTTTTACAGGTAATTTCCAAATTATTTAAAATTTTAATTGTGTTTTTCACAACTTTTGTAAAAGTTTTGCCTATTTTTTAGCAAATTGAGACCTTTTTCCCATATTTGATAAAATTTCCTAAAAAATTTTTAGGAAATTTTATCAAATTTGGGAAAAAGTTTTTTAGCTAGTTCCATAAGGTTTTTGATCAAAATGGTTATTTTCTTATGGATTTTTCTACTAGTTTTTACTCTGTAACCCTATAGCCTATTAGCTTTGGAGATTTTTGACGGCTAACTATATAAAAAACTAGGCGACATTTTTTCCAATATGACTAAATTTTTTAAAAAAGTTTTTACTGTCCTTTCCTGTAAGACTTAGACATTTATATATTACATATTTCTCAGGAATTTTACTTTATTTGTTATTATTATACCGTATATTTTAATCCCTTACAAAAGTTTAACAAAGCAACTTACTAGTGAAATATTTCTTTCACAGAAGTCATACCATTAAGATTTGATTTCCCCATTTAATAACCGTATATAATAACAGGTATCTCTCCCAGAGTAATAACATCTTCTAATGTTTGAAAAATAATAATATAACTCAAAGCTTTATGGTGCACTCCATTAACATTAAGTTCAAGAGTTGTTTGATAGTTACTTATAGCTGCCAGTAAGTCTACTTTTTGATTCGTAAGAAGACTTTGAATCAAAAGCTCTAGCTCTATTAAACAGCAGCGTTGTTTTACTATCTTGGTAAAGAGTAGATTCAGGAAGCTAATCTGTTAATCTGATTACTTTATTATATTTTTCGATTGCTTTAAAATAATCATTAGCTTTATAATATTCTACATCATTTTTGTGTGCTTCTAAAGCATGCGGTTCTACGTTTTTTTTTTTAAATATACTGACACTCCAACAATTAAAAAATATCCAACTTACCACACTGGGTAGCAATGTGCAATGCTGTTTTGCCATCCATTTCTTGAGTTCTAATATCAGCACTTTTATTTATCAACAATTGAACGATGTTAAAAAACCATGAACAGCCGCATAGTGCAGAGATGTTTTTTTTTCCTTATTTAGAACATTAGCGCTGGCTTTGTAATTTAATAGAATCTCAACAACATTCTCGTTACCTTGGAATGCTGCATAATGTAATGGTGTATTATTCTGCATAGTTCCAGCATTATTATCAGCTTTATTATTTAATAGAATGTTTTTCGCTATCTATAGCATTGTTTACGGACTCCAGTAAAACTTGGTAATTATCTCGTACCATACCTACTATTTTTTCACACTCGTTACACTTAGTAGTTTTAAATATTTTATTTAATTCATTTTGTTTCTTTCACATATTATTTTCCATTTCGTTAGACCATAGCGCCTTAACAAAAGATTCATACTCATTCTTCCATTCTGAGTCAAGTCTAATTTTAGGATCTTTTAACTTACTAAATAGAGCTTTAAGTTTTGGTTTTACTTCATAAATCTGTTTACAGCTTTTAATCCTTCTCGAAACTTTCCTTTACCTTTTGTGTCTTCTATCTTCTTTTCATTATCACCAAAAACCTCCATTTTTCTTGATCACATCTTGATCTTTTTGTGTTTTTTTCTAACCTTTATTTAAATGCACTGATTCTATTAAGCATTCCTGCTTCTAACTCAATAGTAAAAAATATATTATTGAGTAGTTCATTTGTTTTATTTGACTTATTACTTTGTTTCCTTTATGTAATATTGACAGAAATCTGTTTGTCCAATTCTACAATTTCATGTAGCTTCTCAGGTTGTGTTTATAACTTTAACTTATCTAAATAACTACAATATAAGTTTTGGATAGTTTTAAAATTATTACTACTAAGAGTTATTTATTGTTGAAAATCCCTCTAAATAAGTTTATTAACTTCTGGCAAACATTCATTGTTATTAATTTGGTTCAGAAATATTTTAACTGATTCAACATTTATTTTGTAAAGTATATCAATGAATTTTATCTTAATCTTTTGAAGATCATTTTGAATTTTGATTAAAAGCTCCAGATTCTTACAATTTTCTAATTTCTTTTTCTATGTAAATGTATGAGCATGTTATTTCTCTTAAGTCATTTGGTGCTGAATAAAGTAACATCTTGTGTCTATCATCAGAGGTAATAGGAGATTCCAAAGTGTTTTTTAAACTTTATCCACTTACCTTAAATATATAAATAATTAATAAGTTTTTAAAATCATGAAAGTTAATCTTCTTAAAAACATATTCCAATCCAGTATTTTGAGTTCAGAGTATCCACGTGTTTATCTTCTAAATGTTCCATTCGCATATTATAAACATCTCTTGATACATTTTTTGCATCATTAAACTGATTTTTATCATATAAGCATCTTGCAATCCAGTATACAGTATTTATTGTATCTAGATGTTTCTCACCTATATATTTATTTTGAATGATTTCTATTTCTCTTAACAAACTTTCCGTTTCGACAAAATGTTTTTTTTCATACAAACATTTGGCAATCCAGAATTTAGACTTCATTGTATCCTAATGTTCCTCTCCTAAAACTTCTTTTCGCAGAGCTTCCAATTCTTTTAGTAAATTTTCAGCTTCCCTAAACTGATTTTTTATTATACAAACATCTCGCAACCCAGTATTTAAGTACTAAATGTATCAACATGTTTTTCTCCTAAAACACCTTTTTACATCTTTTCAACATATATATATATATAACTGTTCAGCGCCATTGAATTTTTCTTTGTCGTATAAGCATATTGCAATCCCATATTTTGTTTTTATTGTATCCTCGTGGTTACCTCCTAAAACCTTCATTCGCAAAACATTTACTTCTTAAAATATTTTTCCGCTTCATCAAAATGTTTTTTTTTTTATACAAACACTTAGCAATCCAGTATTTAGTAGAAATTGTGTTTTCATGTTTCAGTTCTAAAATTTCTTTTTGCATGTTTTCTACTTCTATTATTATTTTGCATTATCAATACCTTATAGTAGAATAAATAAATATCATAAAAACAACCTTTGCTGACAATTGTTTTTTTTTTTTTTTTGTGTATTTATGATATGATACAAAACGTCACAGTGTAAAACTTAAAAAACTCTTTTGTTAAACATATACTAATGTTAAACAATAATAAAGATTACGAATATGATAAAGTACTGAATAATTAAAACTAAGTTAATTTAAAAATTATTAAGTTAAATTAAAAATTATTAGCTGAGTTCTAAAGCACTTCAGAACCAAGTTTTTAATTTTTTTGCAAAATTCAAATCTCATTTTATTATAAAAAAATTCAAAACTTATTTTACTTATAATTAAAAACAAAATCAAAGTTTCGCAATAATCTCAACAACATCCAGTTCTTCTTATCTAGAGCATTATTATCGGCTTGTTGTGTAATAGAGTCTCAACAACAACCTTGTAACCATTTTGTGTTACTAAGTGCAAAGGTGTTCTATCCTATTTATCTCAAGTATTTACTATGGCTTCTTTGTCCAATAAAATAACTTATAATAGAATAAATAAATATCAGAAAAACATTCTTTATATTATTTAAAAAAGTCTCAACAACTTCCTTGTATTCATTTTGTGTTACTAAGTGCAAAGGCGTCCTATCCTCTTTATTTCGAGCATTAACTATGGCTTCCTTATCCAATAAAATTTTTACAATCTCGTTATGACCATTCAATTCTGCAAGGTGCAAAGGTGTCCGATTCTCTTTAGTTAGAGCCTTAATATTGGCTTTGGGTTCGTGATTTAATAGAATTTCAATTACCTCTATGCGACCATTTTTTGCTGCTATGTGTAGTGGTGTCCAATTTTTCTTACTTGCAGCATTAACATCGGCTTTATTTTTTAATAAAGTCCAAACAACATCCTTGTTACCATTTTGTGCTGCTATATATAACGATGTAAAACCCTCAATAGTTCTAGCATCCACCTTGGCCTCGTTGTGTAACAGAGTCTCAACAACGTCATTGTTACCTTGGAATGCTGCATAATGTAATGGTGTTTTTTTTCCTTTATCTTGAGAATCAACATTGGCTTTCTCGTGTAATAAGGTCTTAACAATATCTTTGTAACCACCTTGTGCTGCCAAGTGCATAGGTGTACCATTTCCATCATTTTGAGCGTTTATATCTGCTTTATATTCTAATAGAGTCTCGACAATTTTGTTGTGACCGTTGATTACTGCGTAGTGTAATGGTGTCCTATTTTCTTTACTAAAAACATTAACTTTGGCTTTTTTATGCAATAAGAACTTAACAACAGCAATGAAACCCTCTCTTGCTGCATAGTGTAAAGGGGTATGTTTGTTATTGTCTAGCGCATTAATATTGGCTTTGTATTTTAATAGAGTCTTAACTACATTCTTGTGACCACTTTTTGCTGCTATGTGTAATGGTGTACGCTTCATCTTATTTAGAGCATTAAAATCAGCTTTTTTTTCTAGTAGAGTCTCAACATTATCTTTGTAACCAAAGTATGCTGCGTAGTGTAATGGTGTATCATCCTCATTAGTTCTGGCATTAATTTTAGCTTTATTTTCTAATAGAATCTCAACGACCTCCTTGTAACCATTTTGTGTTACTAAGTGCAAAGGTGTCCTATACTCATTATCTTGAGCATTAACTTTGGCTCCTTTACCTAATAAAATTTGCACAATCTCCTTATGACCATTTAATGATGCAAGATGCAGAGGTGTCAAATTCTCTTTAGTTAGAGCATTAATATTGGCTTTGGGTTCGTGGTTTAATAGAATTTCAATTACCTCTTTGCAACCCTTTGCTGCTGCTATGTGTAGTGGTGTACAATCATTCTTACATGAAACATTAATATCGGCTTTATTGTTTAATAAAGTCCAAACAACATCCTTGTTACCATTTTGTGCTGCCATATATAACGGTGTAAAACCCGTAATAGTTCTAGTATCCACCACGGCCTTGTTGTGTAACAGAGTCTCAACAATATCCTTGTAACCTTGAAATGCTGCAAAATGTAATGGAGTTGTATTTGCCTTATCTTGAGAATCAACATTGGCGTTGTTGTTTAATAAGGTCTCAATAATATCTTTGTGACCATAGAGTGTTGCTACGTGCAATGGTGTCCAATCGTTCTGATTTCGAGCATCAACATTTGCTCCTGTTTTTATTAAAGCTTCAACAATCTCTTTGTGACCGTTTTTTGCTGCATGGTATAATGGTATGCAATTATCCTTATCTAAAGCATTAATATCGGCTTTGTTGTGCAATAGAGTATTAACAACATCCTTGTGACCATTTTGTGCTGCTAGATGTAACGGCGTTCTGTATTTAAAGTCTATATCTTTAGTTCTTGATTTTTTTTTTTCTAATAGATACTCTATAATTTTATTACTTCCAAAAGCAGCAGCAATATGAAACGGACTTTGACCATCAATATCCTCTATATCAATACTTAAATCGTTATCAATAAAAAATTTAAGTACTTTTACATTGTCGTCTTTGTTCCCCTGAACAACAAAATGTATTCCTGTCCGTTTGGTAATATTATCTCTAGCTTTAATATTTGCTCCATTACTAATACATTTAATAACCTTTTCAAGATTACCTTCTTTTGCAGCAATAAACATTTCATTTTGAATAATAACAAGATCTAAGCTTTGGTTATAATATTTATATAAATCAGAAAGATTCTCTTCTATTTTCTGACCAATAATATATCTATCCGTAAACAAATTCTTTTCTTCTAAAATAATTTTTAAAGCATTAGAAATATTTGCAATTGATGGATCAAATGGTAAAGCATCAATTAGAGCATTACCATGGGCTAAATAGTTACGTAAAGATTTTCCTAATAAAATTGGAGAATATTTATCTAAAAAGAGCCTATTATCTCCCAAAAGCGATTTATTTTCTAAAATTTCTGCTAAATCCAAAACTAGCATTTCCACTGCTGCTTGTAATTTTTTGTTTTGATCATAATTTTGTATAAATTCCAAGCTATTACCAGGCACTAACCGCTTTAATTCTTTTAATCTTGTGCACAGTTGTTCAGTATTTTCTTTAAAAATGTTGTCAATAATTTTATATAACTTATCTGCTAGACCCTTATTATCAGTATTAAATTTAAATGATTTAACAAAATTTTTAAACGATTCAGACTTATCATCATATTTTTCGCTATCTATAGCATTGTTTACGGAATTAAGTAAAATTTGGTAATTATCTCTAACCTTACCTACTAATAATTCACACTCATTCCACTGTTCTTTTTTAAATTTTTTAAGTAAATCATCTTGTTTCTTCGTTATCTTTTTTTCCTTTTCGTTAGACCATAGCTGCTTAATAAGACGTTTATACTTTTTTTTTTTTTCTGAGTCTATTTTAATTTTAGAATCTTTTAACTTACTAAATATAGCTATAAGTTTTGGTTTTACTTTATAAGTCTGTTTTACAGCTTTTAATTCTTCTTGAAACTTTCTTTTATCTATTTCTTTTTCTATCTCATTTTCAATTTCGCTTAAAGTAACACATACTTCTTTGTCGATCACGTCTTGATCGTTTTTTTTTGATCTTTTTTTTTCTAACTTATCTTTAAATGCACTGATTCCTTCAACCCTTCCTGCTTCTAATTCAATAGTAGAAAATATCTCATATATTAGTTTATTTATTTTGTTTGACTTTTTACTATGGCTCCTTAGTGTAAAACTTTCAGAAATATGTCTCACCAATTCTACAATTTCTTGTAGCTTCTCAGGTTTTGTTTTTATATTTAGCTTATCTAAATAACTGAAACATATGTTATGGATAGTTGTAAGATTATTACTATTGTGAGTTATTAAAGTATTTATTGTTGACAATCCCTCTAAGTAACTAGTTTTAACATTTATCAACTTAACTTCCTGTGAGTCAATAATTTCTTGAATCTTATCAAATATACCTTGTTCTTGTTCAGTCCGGTTATTGATTTCATTATATAGTTCCGCGATTAATTCTCTTATTCTTGCTAATTCCTTTATATTGCAATTTTCTATTTGTATTTTTCCTAACATAGCTTTATTAAGACTGTTAATAAGTTTATTAACCTCTGGCAAACATTCATTGTTAATAATTTGGCACAGAAAGTTTTTAATTGCATCAACTTTCTTCTTATAAAGTATATCAATGATTTCTATCTTAATCTTTTGAAGATCATTTTGAATTTTTGTGAAAAACTGAGGATTCTCACTATTTTCTAGGTCTAATTTTCTTTTTAATGTATGAGCATGTGATAACGAATCACGCAATGAAGTAATAATTTCTCTTAAGTTTTTTGGTGCTGAATAAAGTAACATCTTGTGTATATCATCAGATGTATTAGGAGATTCTAAAGTATTTTTTAAACTTTCTCCAATTACCTGTAAAGTTCTTTCAATAACTAATTTCCCTAATTCTTGCTCTTTATTAAGATCAATTTGTAATGCTAGTTCTATGTATGACTCCATTTTTTTTAAGGAATAAACATTCTTAGTTATCTTATAATCATCATACAAATTTTTTAAAAAAGGATTCTCCTTAAGAATAACTGATTCAGCAATATTACGAGCTGATAGTTGTATACCATCTTTTGGCTTCGGAAACTTACCATTTATATCTGTTTCTATAATACTAGAACTTTCTTTCAGAAATATAGTATCAAGTGTTTTGTTAAAATTTTTTAGATGGTCTAATACTTTTGTTTTATTTAGTATTAGTTTATAAACAAAATTAAATTTTTGGTGTTTTGTATGAATAGCAATAAATATAGCTACGCAAAATTCTATTTCTTCCCATGGTAATTTATCGTAAGTTGGTTTCAATTGCCGTTTCAATATATGTATATTTTGAACAACAAATCTAGCTGTCAGTATAAATATTTCATCTACTTCTTTATCTTCTATTGAATATCCTTGTAATTTATCTATATGGGCATAGAGCATGTTTATTCGTTTTTTAACAGTGTCAGCAGATGCCTTGACCTCATTTATATTTTCATCTTTTTTCTCAATAAAAAAACGTAAATTTATTAAAATATCTTCAATAAAAAACTCCATTTCTTTTGATAATGGTACATCTTTTAATTTTATTTCCTCATAACCTTTACCCAGATGACTCTCAAGTTGCTGTCTACTAGTAGGGTTATCATTATAATCACTTAATCTAAGATTAATAAGAGTTTCAAGTAACTCAGCTTTACTTGAACGTATTTGAGCATCAAACATCTTGTGATAAGTATCATTACCTACACCGTAATTTAATAAAGCATCTTTTCGTTTATTATTAAGAAGAGCAATCTTCAAAGTTTTTCTACTAAACAGTTTGCTTTAGCCAATCGATCATCAACAGCTAAAGAAAGAGGAATACAATCATTATTATCTTTAGCATTAATATCAGCACCTTTTTTTATTGAAAAAAAGCTGAAAAAAAATATTTCTCAACTTTATTGCAAAATAATATTGGAAATAACAAAAAAACTTGGGATATAATAAAGGAAATGATAGGAAAAGAAAAGAAAACTCGTGGTAATTATTCCCAGTAAGCACAAAGACGTTTAAAAGACGTTTTAAAGATGTCTTTAAGAAAGTCTAAAAGGCGCACTTGTAGACGTCTAGATCATAAGGCTAAAAGACGTCTAAATGTAGACGTCTTTATAAAAACGCGTTTTAGACGTATTTTAGACGTTTTTTTCAAATAAATTTAAGTACTAACGTAACATTTTCGCGTAGTATGTGGTATATATTCATTGTACTTATAAAATCATATATTGTTATAATTTCGTATATACAAGATATACATAGGAACCAGCAATCAAAATAATATTGCTGTAATCACCACTAACGGTTGTTGCATCAAAGATGAAAATATTATATAACAATAACAAATATATATCAGAACAGTATTTAAAAAATTTTTAATTTAGGTATTGTGGTTTATCCTCCTCCAGCTAATTGCCATACGGAGGCCACATTACCAAGGACCACAAAGACAGGTTCGGCTCCCCAAGGAGCGTCATGACCCGCTCTACGGACCAAGAGTAAAGTGAGTTTAGGAAGAACGAAGATATGTTAGAGTGAAAGACAGAAGAAGTCGTGTTAGAAAGATAGCATACAGAAAGCGGACAGGATTGCACACGATGTTAGATGGTGCAATTTAATTAAATACTTATTAAAAAATAAGTATTTAATTTTTTTTTAAATTTAATTTTAAATTTAATTTAAAAAAAAAAAAAAAAAAATTAAAAATTTTTAATTTACCTTTAGTTATATTTAATTTTAACATACGTAATGCTAGCTAATTTTTTACCTTATACTTGAATTATTATATGGCTTGTGGGTGTATAAAAACTAAAAATACTGATATTTAACTTATATATTATTCTTGCCATTTTCACTCATTATCATGATCAGTCAACTATCTATTAAAAAAGCAAAATAATTATTAATAAAAAAAAGATATATTAATATTATAGCAATTATTTTAGTGATTCCTGTGACAACAATTGTGTTAAAAAGTAATTTAATTTAAAGTAATTTACACTTAAAACTTAAATAAATTATTGAAAATAATAAAAACTATGTTTTTACTTTGAATATACGACATCTACTTAACGCGTAATGACAAAGCCGTCAAAAAGAAGTCATAATGACATATTTATAAACAGGTCTCAGAAAAGACGTCTTTTAGCCATGATCTAGACGTCTTTTAATGCGTCTTTTAGACTATTTATTATGCGTCTTTTAAACGTCTTTTTAAACTTTAAAAAGACGCATTTTAAACGTCATTTTAAAAACGCCTTTATAAAAGACGTCTAGAAGATGTCTTAAAAATTGACGTCTTCTAGACGTCTTTTTATCTTTTAAAAAGACGCCTTTTAAACGTCATTTTAAAAACGCATTTATAAAAGACGTCTAAAAGATGTCTTCAAAACGTCTATAAAAGTGCGTCTTTACCTAGACTAGTTTTAGACGTCTATAAGTGTCTAAAATGCGTCTTGTGCTTACTGGGTTTATCGAAATATTTATATACTGAGGATGAAAATACAATAACTAATGAAGAAAAAGATATTGCAAACAGTTTTAATAACTTTTTTATAAACGTAGGTAAAAACCAAGCAAACAAAATATCACCAGGAAAAAATTTTTTAAATCATATCTTGAAGAAAAGGACTATGTAATGAGGTATCGCTTGATGAACTCCGGTTTGCTTTTAATATGATAAAACCAATAAAAGGCACAGGCCTTGATGGTGTAAGCCCTAAGGTTGTCAATGAAGTTTTTGATATTATTGAGAATTCCTTACTTATTGATTTTAATCTTTTATTTAAAAATAGCGTTTTTCCTGATCTCTTGAAGCTAGCGAGAGTTTTGCCAATATATGAGGATGGTGGTATCTTAAAGTTATCTAATTAGAGACCTATTTCAATACTCCCATGTTTTTCTTAAATTCTAAAGCGAATAAAGCATATAAAGCTTTACAACTATCTTACAACTCACAGAGTTTTAAATAAAAATCAATAAGTATTTATAAAAGGACACTCGACAGAACATGCAGTAATTAAATTAGTTAAAGAAATATTGAATGGGTTTGAAAACAACTAATTTACTGTTGGAGTGTTTATTGACCTCTCTAAGGCCTTTGATACTGTGGGCCATGATATTCTTCTTTACAAACTTAAAATTTATGGAATCAAAAATAATAATTTTAAATGGTTTTGATCCTATCTTAAAAATCGCATACAATGTGTATCTTATGACAAAACCTACTCTAAAATAGAATACATACCTGCAAGTTTTTTTAAAGCCAACAAACTCTCTCTGAACCCTAATAAAAGCAAATATACTCTCTTTTCTAAATCCTCTAAATCTGAAACACTGCCTTTAAAATTCCCGGCTCATTTATTAGAAAAAACCAAGTTGCAACAGACATACTGTGTTGAACTCTTAGGCGTTTTAATCGATGAGCAAATAAATTATAAGGAGCATATTATTTTAATAGAAAATACAATTTCAAAAAGTATTGGAATCATGTATAAAACTAGATAAATGTTGAATAAAAACTGTGTAAAATCTTCATACTTTTCTTTTGTTCATAGCTATATTAGTTATTGTGACATTACTTGGGCAAGCACTTATCCGTCAATACTAACTTGTATCTTAAAAAAACAAAAACAGGTATGCCGCCTTATATTAAATGCTAATACGCCAGTGCCAATCTACTGCTTCGTAAGCTTGGAGTGCTGAATGTTTACCAATTAAACATCTACAATACTATTTTATTCATGTTTAGATTAAAATGTCATATGCGACCTAATAATTTTGAAGACCTTATCTTTATTATAGATCAAAAATATCAAACAAAGCATTCATTGCTTAATTATCATGTACCAAAAACTTTGTTAAAACAATTTGAATTCTCAATAACTTACCGAGGACCACAATTGTGGAACTCATTTCTCCCAAATATTAGTAAAACTGCAGCTTCGATACGAGTTTTTAAAAGTATCTTAAAAAAACAGTTACTTGACTATGTCGTATCTCAAATATTATTTTATTTCTAATTTTTATTTTGTCCTTTCTTATCTTTATTTCGTAAACTTTTCTTTTTGTTTAAAAAGCAATAATATATATATATATATATATATATATATATATATATATATATATATATATATATATATATATATATATATATATATATATATATATATATATATATATATATATATATATATATATATATATATATATATATATATATATATATTATTTAAATATATATATATATATATATATATATATGTTTAGATATATATATATATACATAGTTACGTATATATATATATATATATATATATATATATATATATATATATATATATATATATATATATATATATATATATATATATATATATATATATATATATATGTTTAGATATATATATATACATAGTTACGTTTATATATATATATATATATATATATATATATATATATATATATATATATATATATATATGTTTAGATATATATATATACATAGTTACGTTTATATATATATATATATATATATATATATATATATATATATATATATATATATATATATATATATATATATATATATATATATATATATATATTTATACATATATGTGCATGTGTATACACATATATGTATATATGTGTACGTGTATGTATATATATGTATGTATGTGTATGTGTGAATAAGTATATATATATATATATATATATATATATATATATATATATATATATATATATATATATATATATATATATATATATATATATATGTATTGATATATATATATATACATATATATATATATATATATATATATATATATATATATATATATATATATATATATATATATATATTTTTTTTTTTTTTTTTTTTTTTTTTCTAATATGATGGTTAATTTTTTTTTTTTTTTTGTAATAATACATAAAGGCTGGATGATAAGACTTTTGTCTTCTGCCTGCTCCTGTCATATCTTAACTCAAAATGAATATATTGTAAATAATTTATTAGAAATATAACAAAAATTAAAAAAAAAAAATTAAAAAAAAAAGAAAAAAAAAGTGGTTTATAACAAGAGCACTAAATCCCAAAAAGATCCTCAAAGAATTATTAAGATCTTAAAGAGCAAGCTGATAAAATAAATTGAGAAAAACGAGAATTTTTAGTATTATTAAATCGAATTACAAAATTTGAGAGAAATAATTCCTATCTTAGTGTGAATATATTCGGAAATAAAAACTCTGAAGTTTATATTTTTATGAAAATCTAAATATAATGACAGAAAAAATGTAAAAGACAAGTCTATTAATTTCAAATGAAACTACCAATCATTATTGTATAATAAAAAGTTTAAGCAGGCTATTATTTTTTAAGACATCTAACAATGAAAATACTATGCACTATTGTAGAAACTGTTTATTAGGATTTAATACTGAAGAATCTTTATCAAAACATAAATTGTACTGCAATTCATTTAAATCAGAACGAATTGAACTACCTAAAGTAGGATCAATGATGGATTTTATACATTATAATAGGTCTATGAGATTGCCTTTTGTTGTATATGATGACTTTGAAAGCTTTATCAAACCTTTTAACAGTTGTACACCCAATCCTAATGACTTCTATACCAAACAATATTAAATATATGTTCCTAGCTCATTTTGTTACTATGTTAAATGTTTTGATGAAAGAAGTTATCAAGGAAGACCAGTCTCATTTACTGCAACCAACGAAACTGATGATGAAAAAGTTTTTTGAAAATTTAGAATCAGATATTAAGAAGATCTACGACAAAT